TTGTACTTTAAACGCGATTTATGTTGGTCTGCTCCCTTGAACGAGTGTGATTTTACGTTTTTTGTTTTGTCTTTTGTCTTATTTTACAATTCCGAAGCACGTGACCGTGATTTTTACAATAATTGCAGATAATATGATCAAGACATCGGTCCGTTGTATGATTAGACTTGCCGCATTTGGTGCACACCGATTGAATATGATTAAAACGGCCTACAGACGGTTTAGTCTGTCCTCGTAGCTGGTTAAATGCGTGATTATAGCACCTATCTATCACAAATCCGGGATTTTTACAATAACCACACATGATGTGCGTTGTTTGGTTGTTACTATTAGTGGCCTGAAGGGCTGGGTTTGCTGACAATAATGCGTCAACTCTTTTTACGCGACAATCTTCAGTGGAGTGGCCTATACCGTCGCATTTATCGCACTGTTTCTCTAGCTTACGCTTTATCTGTTTTTTCACTTCAAGTTCTTTTTCGATTCTAATTGCATCTCTCACTAAGGCGTCAATATCAGTACTATTGATTAATCTCACAGAAATGTTATCAAGCAACCCTTTTTTCAAAGACTCTACTTGGGTTGCTCTAACGTCTTCCTCAAAATCTTTACTCGCAGGTGTCGAGCTTCCTTTTACTTGCAATATTTGGGCGCCAAGAGCGCGGATCTTATTTGAAAAAGTGAGTACACTCTCGCCTTCCTTTTGAAATTGTTGAGCTAGTAAACCTTGAAGCGAACTAACAGATAAGCCAGTAGGGTATAAGTATCTAAGTTGTCTTTTAAGTTCCTCCACCGTAACAATTACTTTATTTTTTAAAGCCTTTCTAGCTTCGGGGCATATCTTTGTTTGGGCTATTTTTGCAAATGACTTTTGCTCTTTAGGGTCTATAAGGCTATACGCGAAGTCAATCGACTCAAGGAATTCTTCTAACCCGGTTGTATTTCCATCGAAGACGGATACAGTAGCGAGAGCATCTTTCAATTTTACGTAATTATCCGTCATTGTTGCTCGGTTCTTAGCGATAGGAGTGGTGGGAAACGTTTGAACAACAGGAACAGTTGGGGTGTTGGGACGTGTAGGAATAACGGGGCTCTTCTCCGTAACGGAAGAGACTAGGTTGTGTTGATGAATGCGTATTGACTTTTTGTGTTGTGGAAATTAATGAATTAGTTTCAGAGGCTAATACTCGAGATTCCTTTGTCTTTTTCCTCGTCAGATGACTTTGATTTTACTGTATCTTCTAATTCGGTAAGGTTAATCTACTACTTAACCATGACACAAGTACACAAAGAGATTTCAAAGTGTGTATCCTGAAAAACAGTTTACTTGTAAAAATCGTAATTATTTGTATTTAATGTTTATCTCTTCGTCTAATAAGGTTAATGAATTCTAGTTTCCAGAGTATCGTTATTGTAAAACCAGATTTTGAAAGTACGTAATGTTTATTCGTTATAAATAGATAATAATTAATTCATCGCTTGCTAGTGTGTAATTGAAACATAAATAAAGATTAACTGGCTCTTTTCGGCCTGGAGTGACTTTGACTCCGAAAATAAAGATTAACTGGCTCTTTTCGGCCTGGAGTGACGTTGACTCCGAAAATAAAGATTAACTGGCTCTTTTTGGCCTGGAGTGACTTTGACTCCGAAAATAAACATATCGATCTGTATTCTTTAGAAACGTTTTTTTTTTTTATGATTGTACTCGAGTTTTTCTGATAATCATTCCAACTCGGATAGGCAATTTTGTTCGCTTGGTGATCAGTCAAGTCGTTCAAAAAGGAAAATATCACTTTTCGTTTATCCAAAAATTGGTGTCGACCCCAATTATAGTAGAAATGATTAACAATTGATGCTACAAAGTATGAGAATACTTTGGTTCGCCTCGTCAGGGATATATGGCCTCAGGCCGTCAGTGAAAAATTATATGTGGTCTCAGACCGTCAGTGAAAAATTATATGTGGTCTCAGACCGTCAGTGAAAAATTATATGTGGCTCCGTGTGGCCCAATAGTATGGCTCTGTGGCCCAGTAGATATGTGGCTATTTCCGCCCGAAAGTATGTTACTTTCGATTAAATAATATGGCTCTTTGGTCCAAAGTGTGTATTCAGCGTTATGGTTCACGCGCGCGTGTCCAGAGATCGACCATTTCCTGAGATAGGCATTTCGTCCGCACGCGCTTCCTTCCTGAGAAAGTCACGGCAGTCAAAAGGAAAGATTCCTCTTTCGGTTATCTCCAATATCAGGGCCCTGAATATTAAAAATGGCCAATGTCCGGATTCAAAGCATGAGTGTAGCTTTGAACGTATTTTGTAGAGAGTGTAAGTAAAGTTATACATTTAATTACCAGCAAGACGAAGTTAAAATTTATTTATAGTTTTTATTTAATTTCAACATTTTCATATGTTAATTGTTACAATTTTTTTTTGATTTTCAATTTTTTCTGAATTGAGAGTTTAAATCTTTTTGGTTACGCGGCCGCGTCTTTGAATTGTTGGCAGATGATTTTATTCTTTTCATGTGGCTGTAGGAGCCGAAGTCCACAAGCTTTATCAGATTCAATTGCTTTGAGTTTCTTTTTAATTTGATCGATTCGCGATAGTTGATTTTTCTTTTGTAATGGGATTCGTTAGCCCTGGACAGTGATAAAATTATTAAAAGAGTCACACCGAGGTGTATATAGTGGTATGTGTTCATATTTTTTTCTGTCGCGTCTCTTTTTACCGACGCTTCTATTAGTACCGAGTCTGGTCGGTATGAAAGTTATGTGCGTAGATGTGTCGTTAGGTGAAAACCAAGCGCACGGGCGCGGTCGGTAGAGTTTGCTACGCCCACTGGTGTAGCAGCGGGCACAGTCGGTAAAATTGGCCACGCCTATAAGTGAGGTCGTGTGCGTGTCGCCACTAACAAGCGAAGAGAAAGTCATTACGCGTATGCGTGTTGAATCCGTAAAAAAGAATGTCGTTTTAAAATTGCGTACGGGAACGGCACTCGTTTGATTTGTAACAAAGAAATTTCGACTACTTGTAATCTTTTCGTAAGAGAAAATAGTATTTTTGAGACCCGTTCTCGCGGACATGAGTTTAAAAAGTATATGTGTTGTACTTCTCTGATTTTATTAATTTTTGACTCTAATGCTGCGACTACTTTACTCTTGAAACTTTAGCAGGGCCACGACGTGAGCTGTTGCAGCTCGTATCTACTCTTTGTGTGTAGCTGTAGTGTTTGGAAAGAAGTATTGAGGAAGAGAAGAGAGTTGAAATTTTAGCGTTAGTTTTTAAGCTCTTATACGACACGTCGACTCTCAAGTGGCCGTTGCGATTCAGCTTTAGGCTATCGAAAATCATCCTGGCAAGGTCGCCATTTTTGTAACGTCCAGAAGGGACTTAGTGTTGCAAACCGAAGGTTCGCGTGGCCTCGGATAACGATTTTAGCCTTTTCTCGTGCCACGTCCACGAGGAGACGAGACACAAGAGGTCGGCTGAGGACCGGCGACTTGCGAGCGACGTGTATTTGTATGGAAGAGGAACACGTTCGACCCGGCGAAACGATTACTCGTTCATCGCCAGGTCGGCAGTGAATGTATTAGGTTTATTATTACTTATTTAGCGTAGCATGTTTGTAGGTGGATAGCAAGAATTGAGAGAGAGTAGTTTTATATAAAGAAAATAGAGAGTTTATTTAAGACATTATACGTAGACTTACATTTTCGTTGATTAGTTGTACAAGCGAACTGGATGGCGGCTTGGAAGTTGGGGCCGGACAGTGAGCTCTATACTATAAGTTGTTAAGAGCACTTCACTTTTACTCGCGGAGCGCGATTTTAGTGTACATCTGTACTGTTAGAATGCTGGAGCACGAATAGGCAGAGTCGACTGAAGCTTTTGGTGACTTAGTCGACGCTGGCTTTCGGCGGCTGAGATTTTTATTACTCTTTGAGAGCTTTGATAGGCCCAATCTGTCGTATGACGACGTTGCGCCGAAGGTTTTGTCTCTCTGTCCTTTTCCAATTTCCAAGCCGACCATCGAATGTTCTCGAACATTGTACTTACAAGTGATGTTGTAATTATGTTTATTCAGTTGCAAATAATTGTTATTAATTGTTCTTTTTTAATTGGTTTGTTACATCATAGGGTAAATGTTATACTTAGCTGTTCGTTGCTATTTCGGTTGTCCCGCTGTTCCTCACGTTAACATTGGCTGTTTATTGTAACTTAAATTGTTTATGGACTTATTGTTTATTGCGGGAGGCAGGGAGAGGTTTTATGAAAGAAAAGAGAGTCTGTAGAAATCGAGGTGTATCGGTCTCAATCTGAGGCTGATTCGGAGTGAATATTAGTTATTAAATAATTCGGGCGTTTTACATATCGGTTAGAAATATTTGCCATGTGTTTTCATATTCTCGAACGTTCGTTTTCTCGATCGTTCGATGTGGCCTTTTTCTTTGTCGAAAAATGTAACCGTTGAGTGTTATGGCGGTCGTAAATAAAGGCGTTAGACTTCTTACAGCTGGGCGCCGGGGCGTTCGGAAAGTCCCGAGTAGCTCGCGGAGCTGCATGTAAGACGGGCTGCCTATGGGCAGGCGTTTTGGAGGTTTTCGAAGTTTTGAATTTTGTGGCCTATTCGTAGGCGACGTTACAGCCGATACATTTTGGTAATATATTTCGTAATCCTAAAATAATATGATCCTTACTTTGCATATTTGGTGACTTCAATTTTTGTTTTCATCGCGATTGCTTAAATTTATGGTTGGAACTATCACGATCATTTTATCAATAAAAGTTGATAAATCAAAAATATATTATTATTTTTTCTGTATTTTATCTTTTTCAAGCATTTTTTTCAATATTTCGTAAAAACTTTCAATTCAATTTTTTTCGATTAATTCAAGTATCGGCTTATTAAGAAAACTAGGTAAAGAAAGTACTGAACTTAACATTATTGTACCTTAAATACTTTGTTTATTAATGCGGAGAACTTTTTTTTATTAATGAAGGTTTTTTTATTCGCAATGATCAAAGGTAAGACTTACACATATTTACAAGTTCAATTAGAAAAAAACGTTGTACCTCGACCGCGTACAGCCGTTGTTGTGCCAATGCATCGTTTTTTTTTTCTCAAAAATATATTATCTACTATTTTTCTTACAAAGAATTAGACATTATGTCACTCGAAGAAAGTGAAAAATCATTCAAACGCTCGACTCGTAGATGATTATCTGTACCAGTGCGTTTTGATGCTGATTTCTCAGGGCGATATTGCGACTCCGACCGCTGGCCAGATCGCGCAGTATCGCCTCGATAGCCTCGTCGACTTCGCTGTCCTTCGCGTGTCCTCCCATCAGGCCATTTTTCTGGCGCTTCGGATTCATCGACATGTTCAATAATTTTCTGCAATATCCATAAAATTAAGCGATTAGATTGAAAAGATCGAGTATTGGCCGAGCACAGAGTCGTCGCGTCGTTGTATCTTACCTGAGATCGGTTTGCAGGACGGAAATGTCGCCACCGGCCTGCTCGCCGATTTTTTTGAGCGCGTCGGCCAGCGGGCCGCTGAGGGCCTGCAGCCGTCTCCACGAGCTGGCGTACTGGCGTCGTACGAGCTCGATTATGGTGCTGGTGAGCGCGAGACCCACCAGAATGTAGCCCGTGCAGAAGAGCATGTACTTGGGATTGGCTGTGTGTGCAAGTAAAAAAATACGCGATGTGAGAGATTCGATCGACCGTGAGAGAGAGAAAAAAGTATACGCGGGTACTCACTGGGGACAATGTCACCGAAGCCGATGGTGGTCATGGTGACGAAGCAAAAGTAAAAACCCTCGAAGAAGCTCCACTGCGTCTCCCAGAGCATGAATATGGCGGCGCCGCAGGCCAGATAGACGAACAGCAGGCCGACCGCGAACAGAGCTCCTGCGAAAGCAACAAAATCATAATTATTAGCCATTAGCTTGTGTCGCAATCTCGTGCAATATACACTTGGGAAAATGACTTGATGGTATTTTCAGTACATATCTTTGGATGTTTTTAAATAAAGATTTTTCGATAAAATTAAATTAACGTTTATTCGGAGTTCAAAAATTGGAGCACTCGAAAAAAAGTCAAAAGATAGGGTACCTACGTCACGCGGGGTTCCCAGGCGGTCACCCATCCAAGTACTAACCGCGCTCAATTTTGCTTATATTCGGTGATCGGACGAGAACCGTAGTTTTCAAAGTGATATGGACGTAGACATTAACCATGTTTTATTACGCGGATCAAGTAATATAAATTTTTTCTCTAGATTATTCAAAAAATCGGTATACCGCAAATCGATATATGTACACTGACCGAGCGACTTGTTGAAGGTGTCGTTGGCCGGCACGCATCTCCTCAACAGATCCTGCGGCAGTCTGGCCTTGAGCTTGCGCGATATCGCACTGACCGCGTCGGCGAACAGCTGGCCGTAGTCGGCGATCACCGTGAGCGTCAGCGGTATGCCGATCAGGGCGAACAGCACGCAGAACAGCCGGCCGAAGAAGGTCGTCGGATAGAGATTGCCGTAGCCTATGGTGGTGATGATGGTGCTGGCGAAGAACACGGCCTGCAGTATGGACCAGCGCTCGTTCACCAGCTGATAGGGCCTGTCGTCGCCGCGGGACTCGCTCACCCGCGGTATGTACTCCACCATGAAGTTGGAGCGCGCGGCGTTCTGCAGGGCCGCCTCGTACGGGCGCAGCACGGCGTCCTCCCAGTCGGCGAGATCCGCGAAGCTGCCGCTGCCGCTGCTGGCGTTGTTGAACGAGGCCAGCAGCGCCTTGCGTCGCAGCAGCAGGATCTCCTTGAGCTCGATGATGCGCTCGGTCTCGGCGGGCAGCTCGAGTATGCGGAACACCTGCGTGGGGCACACATCGAATAGAATAACATTATGAGGGGACACACTTGTGTGTCGATCGTGTAAATTAAAAACAATATGAAAATTGAATGTAGAATTTTTTTGTTTTTGATTTAAAATTATGTGTATTTAATCATTTAAATTGATCCAAAGTCCTGCGATGCATAAATGAAAGCAATTCTTCTGGCCAATCTTGAGATATTTAAATTTTTGTTATATTCTTCTCTTACACTCGAGTGGAACAGAAACTGTTGAAAAGGCTATCAAAATTGTGTACATCTACTCAACTTAAGTATAGAGAAAAATACTATTAAAAATTATTGTGACCCCAAGAGTTCAAATTAGTAAAAAATTGATTTAAATTTGATCGAAAATAGGGGCGTATACCTTACAAGACATTGGAATCATAAGTCATTATAGATGAATATTGGACTAATTTGAATTCTTCTAGCTTCTAGAGATATCTTTGCCGATGCAAAAACATTGTCTTACATCAAAAACTAAAAAATTTCAATTTTAACATTCAATTTTCATCTTTTTTAATTTACAAGACTTAACTCTGGTTTGACCCCTAGAAAAAATGAAATTGCAACTTTTTAAGTCTCTATAGATCCACGAGTTGTGGATTTTCATTTTTTGAGTACATGCTTGGTTTCAACTTTGTTCTCAAGCACATCAAACTCGTTATATGGCTTAGCTCATATTTATAAAAGTCAAAAAAATTAGTTACGTCGCTCGCGTTCGCGGGAAACGAAATTATTTGGTCTACGAACACGCGTGTCATGTCGCTGTCGTCGTGTACGCGTCTCGCGTCAGCGTCAGCGAGCGATGATCAACGACCGATCGACCGACCGTGAGGGTTTTCTTATTTTTATTATTTATTTTTTTTTATTTTTAAGCGACAGCGAGGCGACATTGAGCAAGCGATCCATAAGTACCATGTGACACAGAACCCGAAATCTAGTCTGCGAGTGTTTATGATGGATTGTCCAACTCTAATCGTGCGGTTTTTCATTTTCATATATTTATATAATTCGAGCCGCGACCGATTCGATGATGTATCGAAAGGGCTCTTTTATTCTTCTTAAAACATCGTTATATTTCTCCGGTGGAGGAGAAGATCCGCGAAATGCTCCAAACGCGGAGACGACGGCGGACAATGGCGCGAGAAAACAACGAAAATAGTTTTTTGTATACGTACGAGCGAGTTGTAAGAGAGTCAAAAGTAAACCGAGTTACGCGCTCGCAACGTTCCATATTACTTTTATATATAAACGCCGCGCATATTCCGAGAGTTTACATGCCGCCGAAGACGACGACGGAATTGGGTCGCTCGCACGTGGGATGTTTACGCGCAAAAATATGACGCGTAGATCTCTTTCCCATCTTATTAAAGCACGTGCTTTAATAATAAGCGAATGAATTATGACGTTTTTACGGTCGGAAGGTCGTTCGATCGGAATCGGCGTTACGATAAACGTTTGTTCGTGCTCAAAAAGTTTGCTAGAGTTTACTATCATCCCAGAAAGGGTTTGAAAATCGTACGACCGCGAATCAAACAAAAACATCGGTATTTTTGGAAAACAAAATGATAATAATTATCTTCTTCCTATATGAATATTTTGTCAGACAAAATAAAACAAAACAAAAAAAAAGAAGAAAAATTCTATTTTTATCGGTTCATTGATCGTTTTTCGTCGTACGATCGCGACCAAAAAGTTTTATCAAATATTATATTTCAAAACAAACTCGCCTGTGCATAAATTAAATTGCGAGTGACAAATTTTCTTTTTTTACTCGAGACTATTATAAAAAAAAAAGAGGCGGAACGCTACGAGGACTCAATTTTATCCGTACCCGGAACTGTCGTGTGTAAGGTCCAACAGAGCTTTTTTAAGATCGTTGAAAAAATTACAAGACAATTGAGACAACTCACTACGCCACCGATGAGACAGTAAATCATGAGGGTAGCCAGGAGGCCTCCGTGGCCAGCGATGGATTTGATTTTGGCCAGTGTCTCGGCCCGCGGCAATCGTATCGGCTTGTTCCGAGCTGCCGCCGGATCCTCCTGTTGCTGATGCTTCTCGTCATTGCTGCTGCTCTCCATCATTGCTTCGACAAATGACCACCGCGAAACTCGATCATTTTTTTCGTGCGCTTCGGCTTTTCACACACCCACGCACCACTCGCGCGTCAAGCCGGACGCCACCACGATCGAGAATAACTTTTTTTTTTTTTTTATAATTTGGCACAGTCGCTACCGCTGCTGCATCGGAGCAGTGGCATGGGATAAAATTAAAAGCTCGCTCGTGTTCCAGCCGGCGGCCTGCGCGAGCTTTCGAGCTTTTTTGCACTTGCACGATCGCACTCGCGGCGATGAGCTCACTGCCGCGCTTTAAAAACGCGGATCTCTCCAAAGCTCTCGCTCCGAACTGGCTATAAGACGATGTGGCGATGATGCCACAAAGGAGAGATTTCCGTATTCGCGGCTCGTGCAAAGCTTCTCCCTCCGCTGCTGCTTTTGAATTTATACTCGGTGGCGTCGGCGGCGCCTTCCAGAAAAGCTATAGAGTAAGCTCGTAAAAGTCTAATATAAACACTCTCCCCGTTAGACGATGTTGAATGCGTGTGCGGCCGCTTACACGCCAACGGATTAAGTATCCGCGAGTTTATATATATAACTATAACGAAGATTACAACGTAACCGCGTAGAGAATCTGCGTCGCTTGGAATACCGTACGATCGTCGATGTTTAATGACTCGATTTGTCTGTAGTTTTGGACGATTGAAGATGCAATTTTAAAAATGTACAGATTTTTATTTCCCGAAGGTATGAATATCGATGACATTTTGAGAGAAGTAGAATACAAAACTTTCATTTCAATTTCTTTTTAATTTTTTAATAAATCAATATTAATATAAAATATTGTACACTCGATCAACAGTCATAAAAAAATTAATTTACATGTATGATAACTAAATGTTAGCTATCGATGAACAATGATTGTCACCATTAATTGTCAATAACTTTCTACACCTAATTCAGCGACTTACTCTGTACGTGAGATTTGGATATTACAACGGTAGGTAATTCTTCCCTTTCTTTATTCGCTGATTTGCAAAAGCGTTCAGCGTTGTGCCAGAATTTTTTATGTGCGACTCCCAAGACAGTATTTTATGCATGTCCGTGAGGCTGAGAGTGACGTTGCTCCTGTTCTCCACGATAAACTGGCAATTTTCTATGATCTTGTCGCGAAGCTGTTTCATTTTTTCCGTATAGAGCGGAGTTTCGCATCTATCCAGAAAGATCTGGAGTTTGTGAAGAACGTGAATAGCCGCGTCCGGGAAGTAGCAGCAATGGCTTTGAGATTGTGCGAATTCCAGAATCAATTCGTAAATTACGTTGACCACGGCGTCCCTGAATGCATCTTCGACATCTTCGTGGCGCGAGGGAGATTGCAATCTGGTTAAAAGAATCCATGGCGACATTGGTTCCCATCGTGGACTTTTTACTGTTCTATTGAAATCGAATTTTTCCAGTACCTCTGTCAGGAATGGATAAATTCGGAAATATACTTGAGCATTTTTACAAATATTTATCAGCATTTTAATGCAGTGAAATCTCAGAGGATAAAATTTTACACTAGGCATAAGCCTTATAACTTTCTCTATCATCTGTAATAATTTGAAAAAATTTAAGAATAAATATTAGAGCAAAATTACAGTAATTATTTTTTCAAAAGCTTAAACTTACTTGTGATACTGGGTCAATGAGTTGACGTAAAGTTGATGGTTCCTGTGCCTTAGAGGCTACTTCAGAAAAAATTTCTAACTTGCTAATGTACGCCCAGTTGTAAATATCTTGATAATGTTTCTGTAAATAAATATTATGATGTATTGTTATACTTGAAAGATGATCTAAAACTGAAAAACCATAAAATTTTACTTACGGCTGGTTGTAAGTGAGCTTCATCGATCATTTTTCCCATGTGCAGAAGATGAGTGAAAGCTATTTTGTAAGTTATGTCAGTTTGAAGTAGAAAATATTGCACCATAAAATTTTTCATATTCTTCATTACTGCAAAATAGCTTTCAATATCTTCGTCAGTGCTTAGTTGAGTTGCAAATTCTTTACATTTTGTGTACTTCACTAACATACCCTGAAATCAAAGTTACTTAAGGTCAGTAAAGACTCATTAAGTTGTTAAATACTTAGAAAAATCTTCAACTATTTACCTCGAACAAGGATTCTACATCAACATTGAATTTTTGATTTGATAGAATTGCAATTAAACACTTTTCAACCTCCAACAATATTTCAAATTCTGAATCGACATCCCAGTGTGCTAATACGATACACAGAATAGGTTCGTGTAATTCAGAAAAACTTTCAACAAAAGGTAACATTTCCAACAAGTGGGAGAAAAAGTCTAAACTTTGGAGTTTATCTTCTTTTGCTGCTGCCTAAAATTTAAAAAATATGTAAACATTAAATACTTCCCCAGTCAAGGAATATGTTAATTTAGTTTTACTTTACCTTCAACAAACTGATGAAATATATCTTTAGAGACTTTTCGATAGTTTTGAACGATTCAGATTTATGAGGTTTTACATCATCATTTACTTGAAGATACTGTTGCAGAGCTTGAGGAAGCAATTCTCCAAATAAATCCATATACTTATCGAAAACTAGAATTGAAATATAATATTACAATAACTTTCTCAATTGATTCTTACAGTAATAAAAATAAATGCTTACATTTTTGAAAATTGTTAATTTTGTTATACTGAAAACTCTCCAGGACGCATTTGATGATTTTACTCAGGGAACTAAAATAAAAATGATTCATGAATAAACGCAAGAAAATAGAAATTACAAACAAAACTTAATTCAAAATATTACCATTTTCTTTCAGTCTTCTGGGCATCTCTTGTGTATTGCTCCAATACAGTTTTCCATTTTTTCATGGTCACCTTTGACAAATTTTCTTGGACATAAACACTCACGTCGGTAGTCTGAAAAAACGTATTCATAATAAATAATATTAGTAGGATAGAAGAAGCACGTGGTAAAAAAGTAAAGCAACGTTTGTGGTACCTCGGAATTTTCCAACATTTTTATGAACAATGATTCTTCAATTCTTTTCTCGATATATGTTGACAACATATTTTTTTCTACTTCTGTTTCCATTTTCGTTTCCATTTGACTAATATTGTTTACACAAATTACACAAAAAAAATAAAAAATAGCAACGAGTGAAAACCTCGTGTATAGTATCAAGCACAAGTTAGAAGCACCGTCTGCGGTCTGCTGTCAGCTGGTACTGGTAGCTGGCGCCACTGGCGGTGTCACTGTGCCGCGCCGCGTTTATTCAAAATAAATCTTCTAATGAAACGATGAGGAGGTAGAGTAATTTGAAGATTTTTTTCCTTTTATTTTAGATTTTATTATAATCTTCAAGTAAAAATTGAGTAAGAAATTAGAGAAATAAAAATTATAAATATTTAACGATTTGATCCATTTTAAATGTTCGCTATAGGGAGTTGTTTGAGCTTTATTTTAGAATTTTAAATTAGTCCAATTATCAGACGTTATCAAACCAGAGCCGACTTGTAGCTCTTTTTCCAATAAGTTTTTCAGAAATTATCATGAAATTTTAAGTCTTGCTGTTTCAGACATTTGAGATATTCATGAATTAAAATCGAACATTTTGATTAGTTCTAAACATAAAATGCTTGTGTATTTGTATTTTTTTAAATAATTTTTTCGAAACTTACTTGTATTTTGAATTCAAATTATAAAAAGCAATTTATTATTCATTAATGATAATGTAAAATATGCATTTTTATTCTATGCTCCTTTGCATGGTAATTATTTATTGAGACCAATTTTTGATGGCTGATATCGCGTGTACTTTGAATGTTCTTTCCAAAAATAATATACAGGTCCATGCTGCGAAAAAAAGCCACCGGCTACGTGTTCATCAACCTGAGCTTCGCCTCTGCCACTAATTACACGTACCCTGAGACTTTTCCATTTTTAGTGGCCTAGGGCAGTAATATATTATTACCCTTGTCACTGAGGTGGAGTGATAATAAAAAATAAGAGTTTTTTGGTTGTGATTTACATAATAATTTATATTGACATGGTCTATAATAATTATCATGGACAGTTAACAATAGACACACGCATACTTATTCATATATTGGTCTTCTCACTGGTGAAAGTCGTTGGCTGCTTGCGATGATCCTTGGTTGTTCTCGATGAAGACTGAATGTCATTTTTGAATTGTGTTATAAGCCACATTTAACATAAAATTGTCAGTCTACATTTAATGTCAATATACTTTTTCAATATAAAATTGACATCTTTCAGCCCTAAAAAATGTGAAAAAAATTACAGAAGAAGCCTTGGCATCTTAAAATAGCAGTTTTAGCCTTTCAGCACTGTGCACAAGGTTTAAATCAGAGTTAGTTATGTGAGGATCCCTAACCGGAATCAAAATCTTTAGAAAAGATTCCTTAATAGGCTGAATTTTATGAAATTAATAAATTCAAATCGTTATTTTCAGTTTCTTTATTTGAATTTTATAATAAAAGTACAATATTTAACAACGAACATAAAAATATACACCAATTATGCTTCTACCCATCACGAGCTTCACTCGCCAGCTATCAAGAAAATGTTATACAAGACTTCGTTCATTACATTGTCAAGGATGAAGTCACAGCACTCAAACGGCAGCCGCTTATGTATCAGATCCCAAAAGGGGTACAACGCATAGCTCTGGAAAAATCTTCTGGATAATTTCTCGCACAGATGCGCGACGACGCGCGCCTCAAACCCTTTTTTGCGGAGCATCCACAATTTTTCCGAATCCCGGGCGAACTCGAAGAATTCCTTGAAGGTGATTCGTTTTGCCACGTCCTTAGGTCGCAAGTGGAGCAGGTCGTAGAGCGAAAGACTCGGACTTATCATCGTCTCTTTGGCTTCTCTCGTGACCTCCTCGTGGTCCTGCCAATTGAGAACTTCAAGATCCGCCGACTTGACGAACAATTTGTGCTTGGCAAACAGATTCATGATCATCAGGGCGTCCGATCGGCTAAGCTCGTATCCTCTAGTCTCGAGGCGCTCGACGACGGCCAAAATGCCGGACGTTACTTTTATGTTTATGCGGCCGTTCGCTTGAACGCCTTGGTCGAATCTTCTCTCGGATGGGAAAACGAAGTTGGACAAATCGGCGCCGTGATCCAGTAGAACATCGATGGTATTCGGCGATAAACTCGCTACGGCATATTGCAGTGGGGTCCGACCGAACCCGTCCCTCGTATCGATCAGCACCGTTTCACGTCTATCTTCGTTCATTATTTTTAAGAATAACCCCGCCACGTCGTTGCCGGAGGGCCTCGAGCAGACGAAGTGCAGCGGCGTCCATTCATCATTTTCTATGGCCAGCTTCAGGTCTGCGCCGCGTCTCATCAGCTGCTCGATCATCTTCTTGTTGCCACACTCAAGAGCCAAGCTCAGCGGTGTCCTACCTAACGTGTCTGTAGCATCGATCTGCAAATGCTGATTTAACTCCTCGTTAACCTTGAAGAACATCTCCACCAAATCTTCGTTGTGGGAATCCTTTGACATGACGTGCAAAGCCGTATTTCCTAGACCGTCAGTCAAATGTGGATCTGCGCCTAGCCTTAGCAGATATTCGGACACTATTACTTTATTGAGTTTAAGAGCCCTGTGCAACGGTGTCCTACCCAATATGTCCTTGGCGTTTAACTGTCCCGAATGGTATTTGGCGTTGGTAAGCTCGAAAAATATCCCGAGCAATTCAACGTCGTTATACCAAAAGCGAGCGATGTGCAGGGGTATCTGTCCATCCTTATTGGCTAATGTTGGATTGGCCCCTCTTCCCAGCAGCAATCGTGCCATTATATATTCGTCGTGGTTCAATATAGCAAAGTGCAATGGTGTGTTACCCTCATTGTCCTGTGCATCGACTAGCACCTCTCGATGTTTTTCGTCGCTGATCTCGAACAGCCGATGCGCCAAGTAATTAAATCCGATCATCTTGCAAATGATATGCAGAGCTGTCGATCCCTTGTTGTCGGCCAAATTTGGATTGGCACCTTTTATCAGCAACCAATCGGCGATATTTCCATGAAACTTTCCTAGAGCCAAGTGTAGCGCTGTTTTACCCTCCTTGTCCTGGGCGTCAAGCGGCAATGGTTGATTTTTTTTGTCGCTGATCTCGAACAGCAGCCTCATTAAGGCATAAGAACTATCCATTTTGCATATGAGTTGCAAAGCAGTCAATCCCTCTGGATGGGCCAAGTTAGGGTCGGCGCCTCTTTCAAGCAGCAACTGTACTACTTCCCTGTGTCCTTTCTCCAGAGCCAAGTGTAGTGCTGTTTTACCCTCCTTGTTCTGGGCGTCGAGCGGCAACGGTTGACGTTTTCCGAGGCACTTCTTGAGGATTAAATTCATTAAGGCCTTAGGGTGATTCATTTTGCATATGAGGTGCAAAGCAGTCGATCCCTCTGGATTGGCCAAGGTAGGATCTGCACCTTTTCTCAGCAACCATTTGGCGATATTCGTACGTCCGTTCTCCAGAGCCAAGTGCAAAGCTGTTTTACCCTCCTTGTCCTGGGCGTCGAGCAGCAACGGTTGACGTTTTTCGAGGCAGATCTTAAGGAATGACTTCATTAAGGCCTTAGGACGATCCATCTTGCATATTAGGTGCAAAGCCGTCGATCCCTCTGGATTGGCCAAGTTCGGATTGGCGCCACTCTTGAGCAGCAATCGTGCCACATTCCTTCTGTCATAGGCCAAAGCCAAGTGTAGCGCAGAATAGCCTATCTCATGCACGAGGAGATTGGGATCTTGGCCGAGCTCGAGAAATTTCTCGACGACATCATCGCAGCCGAAAGCGCAGGCCACATGGAAATTAGTCAGGCCGGACGAGTCGGTGTAATTAATGTTGAAATTATTGTAAATTTTAAAAAGCTCACGGACCATGATGTCATTATTAAGAAATCCGCTCCTAGCCACATGATGCAGTGCTGTAGTTCGATGCACACGTGGCTTACCGTCTTGCTCAATTTTAGGCTGATATTTGTAGCCGCTGTTAGCCACGAATTTAATGATTAGTTCTCCTGAACGATTGTAATCCTCTTCGTCACGAAAAGTAATGGATTCCGTGAGAAGCCAGTTGATTTCTTCGGCCTGATATTGGCACTTCCAATCGCTCAATAAGAGGTAAAGTTGACCGAGAAAAAAGTTGTCCTGTCGCTCCTCTTCAATGTCCCAATTGACCTTTTCACGTATCTTCCTCAATCTGTCAAACTTTTGTTGGTGGAGATGACAACCCACAAATTCGCTTTTGTACACGCTCATCGTTTGTCGTACTAATTCACGAAAAGCACTTACTTCGGTTGACGCACGATCTTTCAGAACTGTTCACGCTGCGGCGTCGCAATGTGTACTGACAAAGAAGATAGACACGTATAGAAGCCCAGAGCTTAACTAAAAATTGAGGCTGGCTCATATGATACCAAAACCAACTTCAAGGGGGCGCGGCGAGCAACCTAAGCCTGTAATGTATAAGCAACATTTAGTCCACCGGTTACCAAAATCTTTGTGGTCGAGTGGTCTAGCGCTCGGCTTCGTCTTTTGCGTCGAGTGGTCGGGCCTTGGTTCAATCCCAGGCCGCAGATATTTTTTTTTACATTTTTTTCTCAAATTACAAAGAATAAAGTAAGGATTTCGCTTCTAGCTAATATTGCTTATAAAATTAAAAATACTCTGATAAATTTATTTATTTATTGAGGGTTTTTTTTAAATGTGAAAAATAATAATCAAGCGATACGGTCCATTTAAAATTGGAGTCAGAGATATTTTCATAAAAAAGAAACTTCATTTAACGAAATTGACACGAAATTTTTTTTCGAGGCGTCTAAATATACATTAATTTAATTTAATTTGCGTTTGAATTAAATGTGATTTTTTATTTTTTTGTAGAAAAAAGAACATGAAAAAAAACGTTTGATTATCAATGCAATTTTAATTTTACGACCAATATGAGCTAAAAACGAAATCCTTACTTTATTCTTTGTAATTTGAGAAAAAAATGTAAAAAAAAATATCTGCGGCCTGGGATTGAACCAAGGCCCGACCGCTCGACGCAAAAGACGAAGCCGAGCGCTTGACCACTCGACCACGAAGACTTTGGTAACTAAGGGACTAAATGTTGGTTATACATTACAGGCTTAGGTTGCTCGCCGCGCCCCCTTGAAGTTGGTTTTGGTACCATATGAGCCAGCCTCAATCGCGCCTATAGTTCTGTGCTTCTATACGTGTCTATCTTCTTTGGTACTGACCATATGCATGTGTACTCGTCTATGATCCATTGACTATGCGCGTAACCCGTGGCGCGGGGCGCCTCCACCCGACTGGAAATACAACACCGGCGCAGTTACGAGCTCTGTGCAGTTCGCACTTTTATTTAAGGGTCCTCTATACACACTCGGTCGGTAACTATATTCGCGTATTTTGTACCCATTTTTTTCATTTAGTATACAACCTATGGTCTTGAAATTTTTTGGGAGTGATCATGAAACTAATACAAATGTGCCTATGAAGCTATTTTTTCATATAAATATTGTAAAAATTTTTTTTTAATTATCTGAAAAAATAGCTTCATAGGCACATTTGTATTAGTTTCATGATCACTCCCAGAAAATTTCAAGACCATAGGTTGTATACTAAATGAAAAAAATGGGTACAAAATACGCGAATATAGTTACCGACCGAGTGTGTATGGAGGACCCTTAATATTGATAATGTTATTAGTACGGATGGATAGGGAACGAAAACCTTGTCCCTATGCTGCCGGTTAAAAAGCTGCTCCCCTTATTGTTTATTGTTAAGAGCCAATAAACAATTAATATCAGTTGCACACATACATAATCTTTTTATTTTACTTTTAGTTATCCGATTAAATGTTTTTTTTTTTAACAAATCCTTGTAAACTGCTCCGATATTAGGATTGAACAGATTCCAAATATAATGTGAATTAATTAAAATAATCGCAGATTCATTTTTCAATGTAAATTAGATGGGAAAGCCGAAAATGCATCCCTGCGCAAGTGTCCACGCTCATATATCTGCAGTACGGTAACGGCTGTCTGCTGGCCCCCGGAGCCAGCGTTGTGAAGAGCTAAATTACAATGGCTACTACGGCTTCAAGCGGAGACTGTTCTACCTTATCGACGCGCACGCAGTGGCTAACCGATATATTAGCGAAAAGGGCTATGAATATAATTATGAATAATAATAAATGGAAAGAAAGTATAATTATTCTAAATATGAAATGTTTATTCTAACATGCGCTGATACATAAAAAAATATACATTGTACAAAGCAGAAAATGTTGTAAACGCAAACGGACGAAATGTTTTTTTTAAATTCATTTAATACGTACCAGAAATCTATTATTGTATATTTTTTGACGTGAAACATCTATATTCGTGTTTTTTTGTGTAAAAATAATGCATAATACGGATGTAAAATAAAATACTCTGTTCGTAATAATTTGTGTTAGCACAAAATACGACATTTTTTACGCACTTAAATCGAGGCAAATAAATTAATTAATACGTATTAATAAAAAATAGCATATGATAGTTCATAACAATTTTTTTATCAATGTATCAAAATAATTATAAAAACGTTTTACAGAAGTATTTCTTCAGTTTGAGGTTGCTGCGTGCACGTCGATAACGTAGAACAGTCTCCGCTCAAAGCCGTGGCAGCCAATGTAATTTAGCTCTTCGCAAAATCGCAACGCTGGTCGAAGTAGACTTTCAGCGCTCGCAACGGCGGCAGCCAGCGACACAATCACCTACCACACACACACACACACACACAAACGTACTCGGTACACACACTGACACAAAATGATGTCAGCCTAGCACCGAGGCAGGCAGTCAGGCAGCAGCAGCGAATTTTTCTGCACGACGATAAACTCGCGGCTCGCCATCAATTCCGTGTGTGTGTGCGTGCGTGCGTGCAGCGAATATCGCGGAGTGTCCAGAGAGACAGATTCTTTGAATTTCGGCCCTCGTCGTATCCCATATATAGGGCCCCGAGTATGCGGTAAGTAAATAATATTATTGAAAATTTGACACAACGCGAAGGTGGTTCTCACGCAGCAGCAGCAGCAGCTTCGCGGCGCTTGATTATCGATTCTCGTTTTGGCATACATTTTCTCCTCCTTGTGTGCTGCTGCTGCTTGTTGTACACTATCTCGGAAAGTCTCTCGGGGAGGCGTTTTATCCGGCGCAGGATCGATAGCAGTAGTGTGTTGCACACGGGTTTATTTATGCTGTGGCTGAACGCCTCTCTATTCTGTCTTTCCTATATAATGTAACGGGCAGCGCATACAATGACGTTACAATACGAGGCGAGCAGTATCTGTATTTTAACAGTTGCTCAATGATGCTTAGTCTCAGCATTGAATCCTTGCCATGTATGAGATGTATCAACAACAGCAGCAGCAGCGAAGCGTCTGTCTCGAAATTAAATCTCGCACAATAATAAAATAATCATCGTGTCTGCGTGTCAGACGATGATGCTTTCTTTCGAGTTCTTTCTCTCTCGACGTTTACATAGCACACCACGCTTGGCTGATTTACGAACGCTCAAAGCGAAGATCAAAAGGGGCGTGTACGCACGACACGACTCCGAATAATATGTGCCTGTGATCGTTTCCTCTTTATCGATTAAGATACATATGCACGGGCCGCTATTGTATTAATGCTGTTTTGATTCTGCTGCTTGTATTGACTTTTGCTGGTTGACGTGTTACTTGGCATCGATGTACTTGCTTGTACCATGACACCAGGATCTCTGTGTGTGTATTCGATAAGTTTTTCGATAAGTTTTTTTATACTCGTTTGTGCATTGTTATCGTAAACTGATAAAATAATTGTGTGGAATGTAATGGCTCTCAAAAATTAACCAATTGAACAACTTCTCGTTCTATTCCAATTTGTATGTTTTATGTGTAATTTGAATGTGCTCAAGTATTCATGCAGCAATTAGATTACTCTTTTTTTTGTCAGTGCAACATTTATATGTGATGATGCATTTTTTAAACTCGTACTAAAAATAAACTTGTTACAGGTAAAAAATAACTCAACCAAGCGACAAATTGCAACAACGCCAAGATGATTGGTGGCCTGTTTGTTTACAATCACAAGGGAGAGGTTTTAATCTCTCGGGTGTACAGGGATGACATTGGTCGAAATGCTGTGGATGCGTTCAGAGTGAATGTCATTCATGCCAGGCAGCAAGTCAGATCTCCTGTGACGAATATTGCCAGAACATCGTTCTTTCATATCAAGAGAGCCAATATCTGGTTGGCAGCTGTTACGAAGCAAAATGTCAATGCCGCTATGGTGTTTGAGTTTTTGCTGAAGATCATTGATGTCATGCAATCTTACTTTGGCAAAATCTCTGAAGAAAACATTAAGAATAACTTTGTTTTAATTTATGAGCTTCTTGATGGTAAGTAGTAAACCTATATATTTGTTATTTAGTATATAGTCTAATAATTCTTCATCAAAGACTTTGAAATAATGTTATTTGTTCTTTTTGCCTCTAGAAATTCTTGATTTTGGATATCCCCAAAATTGTGACACAGGGGTTCTGAAGACCTTCATTACTCAACAGGGAGTGAAATCAGCAACAAAAGAAGAACAAGCACAAATAACATCTCAAGTTACTGGACAAATCGGCTGGAGAAGAGAAGGCATCAAATATCGACGCAATGAATTGTTTTTGGATGTATTAGAATATGTAAATTTGTTGATGAGTCCGCAAGGACAAGTTCTCAGTGCTCATGTTGCTGGAAAGGTAATAGTGTATATCTTATATGTCAAATATTTGATCTATTGATTTAAATTTAATTATCCTCATTTTTTGCTTAGGTTGTAATGAAATCATATTTATCAGGAATGCCAGAGTGTAAATTTGGTATCAATGATAAGATTGTTATGGAAGCCAAAGGCATGAAAGGAAGTGGAGGATTAGGAAATGTTGGCGGTGATGATCCAACTGGTGCTCGATCTGGAAAACCTGTTGTAGTTATTGATGATTGTCAGTTTCATCAATGTGTCAAACTTTCCAAATTTGAAACAGAACATTCCATTAGTTTTATACCACCAGATGGAGAATTTGAACTGATGAGGTTTTTTTTATACTTTTTTTTTGGTTTTTATTGCATTTCATAAGTATTTTAACAAAAGCTAATCTTGAATTGTTTTCTTTTTTGCTGACAGGTATCGCACAACAAAAGATATTTCATTGCCGTTCCGAGTTATCCCCCTCGTTCGTGAAGTTGGTCGTACCAAAATGGAAGTAAAAGCGGTTTTAAAATCGAATTTCAAGCCATCCTTGTTAGGACAAAAAATTGAAGTACGTGTTCCTACTCCGTTGAATACAGCCGGAGTACAACTCATTTGCCTAAAGGGAAAAGCTAAATACAAGGCTTCTGAAAATGCCATTGTATGGAAAATCAAAAGGATGGCAGGTATGAAGGAGACTCAATTATCAGCAGAAATCGATCTGTTGGAAACTGATACTAAGAAAAAGTGGACGCGTCCTCCAATATCCATGAATTTCGAAGTACCTTTTGCCCCTTCTGGATTTAAAGTACGATACTTGAAAGTCTTTGAATCAAAGTTGAATTACTCAGACCATGATGTCATTAAATGGGTTAGATACATTGGTAGAAGTGGTCTCTATGAGACAAGATGCTAAAGATATAATGAAGCTGCATGATTTATTATATATAATCGTGTTTGCCTGCAACAATTGAATCCCACAATGTTATTGTATTTAATCTAATGAAGAAAACATGATCATTAGCTTCATAAGTATTTATTACTTTATTGTCTTCATAAGTTCAAAAAGGATCTGCTTAGTTAATATAGCTGGAATTTTTTTTTAAATTGACTGGAGATTATAATTTTAAAAACAAAGTAAAAAAAAACAAACGATATCAATATTTAAAATGCTCAGTAAAAGTTCTGACGTTGAAAAGTTTCACGTAAACTGATTCTGACGAAGATCACTGTTACCATGCATCAATATCAGTTATCGATATCGGTTACGATCGTTCTCTACAACATGACCAACAAGTTTTTATTGTCGCATCGTTATTGTTAACTATATTTATACAACCCCTTTAATGATATTTGCTTCTTTTTTTAAAATCAACTCTTTTTCTCGTATTGGAAAAGGAGAAAAATTATGATCAAGTATTCATAGATGAGTCAAATCAATTGTTTGCCTGGAAAATCGAGTCCTAATTTTTGGTCTTTTATGTAAAGGAAAGTCGTACGTCGTGTATCGCGCGTGTGTGTACCTTGGCCACAAAAGAAAGAGTCCCCGGACGCGTCTCGCACGAGAACGAGCGTCCGCTGGCTTTTTTTTTGCACAGTCAACCTGGAAAAGGTCATACGCGTGTGCATATACGTGCGTACCATTTTTCGCTCTCTGGCCGAGAGCAATAACGTCATCGTTATTACTCTCGGTCGGGCAAAATAATCATGTGCATTGAAATACGCGTAGAATCTGTAAAACACCTTTAAATTTTTTTTTTTCCTTTAATTTTATTTTTATTTTTTTAATCGCGCTGGAATGAACAAAAATTGTACCATTTTTCATTCGGTTGTAATCAAATGTGTAAATTGTCAATATATAATGAATTGAAAAATAAATAATGATTAGTGTTAAATCACCAGTGTATCGTTATTATACCTCCATACAAAAAGACACGCACGTATGTATGCATCCAACGGTCGATCATCGAATCGAATTCGAAAAAAAGCTCTCGTTCGTATTGTCGCGGTGCTGCATTCGAAAGGGCACTCTAACCTCGCGAGGAGTGCAAAATTCGCTACGAATAGAGTCTTCTGCTGAGCGCATGCGACTCGCGGCGCGCGGGGGTTCACCACGCAGATCCCCCCCGCGAGTAGCAGCAGAAATTGGGTGCACCGAGTTGCCGTGCGCTGCACACGCTAGGTCATCGTGTCTCTCTCTCTCTCTCTTCTCCTTTTTTTCTCTCTCTCTCTCCCTCGCGCTCTCCTCCGTCTGTGTGTCTGTTTGTCTATATACAACACCTGTCTGTCTCTCTCTTTAACCCCGTCTCTCTGTCTTTGGCCATTGCGCGCGGAGTGCACTGTACAGCCACGCAGTGTGTGTGTGTGTTGTTTGCTACTACTACAATTACCTACCTATCCTATACATATAATATATATCGTCGACTACTATACCGCTGCTGCTGCTGCTCTCGGGGACTTTCGAGAGAGGAGAGCTTTCGAGCGAGTTAGTGTGTGTAGTCCGTGTGTCCGTGTGCAACAGCGATCACATCGTGTCGTCGTCGTCGCGAGTCGGTGCTGTTGTTGTTTTGTTGTGCTGCTGCTGCGCGCGTATTCTTACGACATATATACACTTTCCGTGTGCCTCCCCACATCATCGTCATGGGCACATGCCACGATAAAAAACGTTCGCGGAGGGCCAAACCAACGTCAGCGGCAGCAGCAGCAGCAGTTCAATCGGACGATTAATATTGCAACGAGAGCTTTAACCCACGCAGCTACGTGTCATAATAAAAGTTATACACGAACGATAGTAATAATAATAAAAAAAAAATCCCCGCGTTTGTGTGTATATACGTGGGTGCGCGTGTCTCTGTGTAAACATGCTGTAATAATAAATATAAAAAAAAAAAACAACTCGGTGGTGTCTCCGAGTGAAACAGCCGAGACGAGAAAAGAAAGAGAATCATGTTGTCGTTGGTCGACATCGGCGAGAGCTCGCGTCGCGGAGCAGCAGCAGCTCGTGCAAAACGACATCGTCGACGAGTAGCCGCCAGCTCGCACGGAATTCATCAACACGTGAGTCGAGACTTGGTTGCAACACGCTCACCTACACACACGCACATACACAAGCATATCTTGCGTTATTCGCGACTTTCTCTCTCTCTTTGCTAATTTTAACTCTCCTAATACTACCAATAGTAGTAGTAGTAGTGAGATAGCCTTTTTACCACGCGAGAGAAAAGCTTCGGTCTCATTTTTGCCTGTATATATATGCTCGCCCCCCGTGTAATAATAATATACACAAAACGGCGCGTATAGTCGTCGTCGTCGGCCTTCGTTTTGTGCTTTTCGCAGCAGCATGCATATTTACGCGTTCGCTCGAAAAAGCGCGTGTATATACTATATATACATACGTATACCGAAAAATTTTAACACGGTATATAACATCGCGTTGATTGCTGTGCGTGCGCTCGTGTCTGTGTGTTGTTTTTTTTTTTTTTTTGCCTCCCCCGAGCTCTCTGTATAGTACGAGAGTAGTAGTAGTAGTAGTCAGCTGTCTGTGTGCTGCTACTGCTCGGGCTTATACATAACAAGCACACGCGTGAAAAGCTCGTGCCGTTTCGCGTTTCGACTCGTGTCAATCTGCCGCTGTACTACCGCTGCAAGCTCGTAACGTCTCTATACGTGTTTTTCTTCTAGCGCCTCTTTTTTACCCTCTTTTTTTCTCTTTTTAATCTTATTTTCTCAACACGGTTTTCGAGGAAAAAAGAAAAAAAAAATGTCCGACGCCTACTACGCGCGGACCGTTCCAGAAAGCTGCTGCCCCGCTGCTGCTGCTGCCTGCCTGCCTGCCGTGTTGCATAATCGTTATTCAATCCGGAGCTCTTTCTGATGCATGATTTTCGCGCGCCTATAATGATAAATCATAATTTTCGCTATCGAAATGCTATGCGCGCGGGGCCGCCTCGTTGTAAATCTCGCCTCGTATTATCCGTAGTATCGTATACGTATATACACAGCTGGCGTCTTTCGGGACATTTGTTTCAACCAAGTTCACAAATGTAAATGTATAGGCGAGCATTAAAAAGAAGGGCACGAGAGAGAGAATAAAAAAAAAAGTAGTGAAATTATGAATGGTAAGAACGTGTGTGCATGCCTTATTTTGCTTCTCTCTCTCTGTGCGAGCGCACATTTTTCTTTGCTCGCGCGACACCCCACCACCACCCCCTCCGGCGTACATTCATCCGCTGCAGATATATATACACACACACGCTCGGTGATGATATTGAGGGACTTCGAAATCCATTTTCAACTAAATTATCTCATTTAGCGGCATTAAGTGTCTATAGGCGGCTGGGATGCGTGTTTACCTACGCTACGCGCGATATTTCTTTTGCTTCTTATATATACATAGAGAGAAGCTTTCGCAATTATGAACAAACTGTCGGTTACCCCCCTTCTTTTTTTTTCTCTCTACCCGCACACACACACACATACACACGATTTTCCATCGTTTAACGTAACTTTATTGCCACACTCTTCTCCGACTCGAGCGAGCAAGAGCGAGAGTGAGTGAGATAGTCGATTACTTTTACAGTACGTACAAGAATTTATCGTATAACGTTCGCTCGAGCTTTCGAAGGCCATTCATTGGCACAAATACGTATATAGATTCTAAATTTTTGGAGAGGATCTATCGTTCAGAATTTGGCCCGCCCCGATGGTTTCGTGTTATATATATTCTCAAATTTTACTATTGTAAAGCACGACGACGACGTTATGCGCGAAAGTTTTTTGCGAAAAAATAGCTGATATCGATTACGAGTCAGCGCCAAAATTTGCGTTACCAACGATGTTGAGAAACGCGCACAAGAAGAGCCGAAAATGTATGCGTGTGTGTGTGTGTGTGTGCGATACATATTTCGCGAAACTCGAGAGGGTTGGTCGCGAGCTCGATACCACTCACGATTATATATTCATATAATAAGTGTTTATTGATATACATCGAGTTTGAGGTTTTGTTAGCTATATTTTCCATGTTTATGTATGCTTATGTTCGACACTAGGCCTCGGGCGTGCGATTCAACGATATAAAATACGGATCGTTTTGTAATTTTAATTATATTTAACATCAACATAAATCTAACAACAAATTTTCTTCCAAAATGTGTTTTATGTAACTCTTTTACTCTCATAAAATATCCTTCACATTTCTAATATGACTTTTAAAGCCTTCGACATTTTTGACTCTTCCTTTGCCAGCCGAGCGTGACACATATACACATACATCGCGCGATTAAACTTTATTATCATCGTGTGGACGAATTTCGAACACGTCGAATTGCCATTCCCCGCGTGCCTGCGTGCACATATCATTCCCTGCCGCTTGTATTATTATTATTATATACGTATATGTATAATGCACACGTGTATGCGTGTATATATACAGAACCGCCGCGGAGCAGTTAAAACGGCCAAATTGATAACGTCACTCATTAACGGGCCAAAAGCGAAAATATAATGATGTAGGCGACGGCAGGGAATTAGCCTATCGGTCGATTTATATTAAGCCGTGTGTGCTCGTGCACGCTCGTCGATCGTTGCCGTGCAGTTTATATACTTTGTGAAAACTTGTGTTATATAGACGCACGCTAAATCATACACGGCTCGTCGCGCGTATATTATAATAATGCATGATCGATATCGATGTCCGACGTCGAGCTTTTGTCGTTTTTGGTTCGAAAGTAAAATTCTCGAGCGCGAGAACTAAATTAGTTCTCTTTTCGCGAATCCAGAATGTACTCGTGTGCTTACATTACATAAAAGTACTTTTGTTTTCTCTCTCTCTCTCTGTCTCTCGCTTCGCAGTCAAGTTCTCTACTCTTCTCAATCTCTAGTGTGTTACTATCTATATATATATTACACGAGGCAGTTGAAACGCGAGCGCACAATTTTATAATGCTAAAGTATTTAAAGGCGCGCACACTCCGCGTCGTATAATATACAAGTATATAAGTTTTCTGCGTGTCTACGTATATACCCTTAAGAAGGCGATTACGTTATGCATTAAACAACTGGAAAAGAAGAAGACGACGACGACGACGAAGAAGCCTCGAGCTAATCCTGTAAGAAGTTAGAGAAACCTTGTTTTGCAAATGTATACGCGTACTTGCCCAGTTCTTGACCCTTGACTGCCTGTGTGTGCAATGCTGCTGCTGCTGCTGTGCACCCCAGCCAGCCAACCAGTCGTCGTATATACTTTTAAAAGCTATTTTATTTTATTCGAGGAGCTGCGTATATATCACTTTAAAGAAACTCAACGAAGATGGCGTAATCTGTCTCTGGAACAGAGGGAGAAGCAAAAAACCTAAACTGTGCCTGTGCTGCAGTTTAGAGAAAAGTTGAAAAAGAAAAGAACAGCTTTTCTCGAACTCTTGAGCGCGTGCAGTTGTTCGATGTCGCTGCGGTTTCCTGCAAAACAACACTCTGTTTGCGTAGTTTATAATTATAATTACGCTCGAACTTATATATAGTTCAGTGGTACGCGATAATGTAAAATTACTTTTACTAATTTGTTTGCGACGATACGCCGAGCTTATTCTTATTTTTTTGTTTTTTTTTTTTTAGAAATTATTCCAGTTGAAAGTCGAACCGCCGTGGTCGAGTTCATAAAACGAGTGCGCATATCGCGCGCGACACGACATCGAAACGATTTTAGAGCCCTATGCGCAGTCGTAAGCGGAGGGGGGAAAATTTGCTGACGGAACGAAAAATTCGTTAGTTATCTTGCTTCGGATGAAAGTATATATCGACTCGTTCGATCACGTATGAGTTTATAATTATGTTTCTCAGTTTTTAGGTCGACTTTGTATTTTGAAAAATTGCATAAAAATGTCGAGGGCATTTGTCAATAATTTTTATGAAATATGCTCTTTTTCTTTAGATACTAGTATCGGTGTCATTAAAAAAAACAATCACTCTCAAAATTCCCAATGAAAACTATCACATCTAACAAAATCGTCGAGAACTTTTATTTCTTTTTTGCCCGCAAAGGCTATCAATTTCAAAATATTTTCAACAAAAAGAATTATATTGCAAATATAATGACTACAAAAAAATATTATTTCCTTCATATTGTCGGCAAAAATTAATGCAACAGAAACTTCGATTTAAAAAAATATACAATAACCTAGGACTTCGCACGTGTTCAAAGTCTTTGCTCTCATCATACGCCTCATGGTTCAAAATTGGAGAGTAACAATTTTCGACGACACTTCTTATGAAGTAATTATTTTGGTGCATAACTTTCATCTGCATTAGTTTTTGTTAATGAAAAAATAATAATTCAAGTATCTTCATGACATAAAATAAATTACACGATCACGAGGAGATTAACCCTAAAAAAAATGTTCAACTCTTCATTTCAACGATTTGTTTGTCAAACAAAAATCTTTTAAAAAAAATTATTTAACGTTATATCGCTGTAATACGTTACAAATCAAACGTTCAAATACAGTGCTTACTTTCTGTTTTTATTAGCCACCACATGGTCGTAAACTTTATTTAATTTGATAGGAAGGTTTCAGACAAATTAATTCAAAAATTTGATTTACACGCTGGCTTTGCTATTCCCCTATAATAATGGATAAATTGATTATAATATCATTTCAATCTTTTAAACGACCAATGAAACAAAAAAACATCATGTTTTACATACGGGTTATTGTAAAACTTTATCTCGTATTTAGACTCGCACATGGTGCAGTACCTCGTGTTTATGGATATATTGTTTATAACATCATTTCAATCTTTTAAACGAACAATTGAACAAAAAAACATAATGTTTTACGTACTATTGTAAAACTTTATATCGTATTTAGACTCGTACATGGTGCAACACCACGTGTTTGTGCGTGTTTAGGCATGTCTTAGTCCGTCTAAGCGCGTTGCTCAGAAAAAAAAAGAAAAGAAAACGACGCTTTATTCTTGTACACGCAGTCAAATTCGTTATAGGTTCGATCGACGGCTATTAGAAATCGTAGATGCTGCGCGAGTCGCGACGCCCATGCTTATAG